GTCGGAGCTTCGGGTTTTTGGAAGTATTCTGTCTGCTACCCAGCGCTGTTACCCTTGTTCATATCCTACTTGCTGTAAATTAATAAAATTCTTAATTGGATTAGGTTCCGTTGTGGCGCAAATTTATAACACCCCTTTGAAAAAAATTTCCCACCATTCCTGAGACTCCAATTGGATTTCTCCGCTTGTTACCTTACAAGTTAGTATCCAATCAGTGATCTCTTGTTGTATCTTCCAACAAGAATTACAAATCCCTCTTGGGGGATGGCCTCTGCTGCAATGTGACCACCACCTTTCCCCACACACCTTACAATTATAGCATACAAAAGGATAACAATTACAATTTTGATTTGTGCATTTTACTCTAACACTCGAATTACTAATTAATCCATTGTTCAAATAATGTAAGTCTGATGTATACTCAATCTCATAAGAGTTCATTAATTCTTTTGTAATTTCAGCTTCAGGTCCCCTGGAGGACTGGTTATTTGCCACACAGTGTTGTTAACTGGTCCTTTTACTCGACTGGCATGTGTCCATCCTTTTTCTGCAGTCCGAATTGCAGTTTCTTCATACTTGAGGAGTTTAAAATCTGTAATCCACTTATCAGCTTTTTATTGTAAGATTCCTCTAATATTATGTGGAGTTAACACTTTTAGTTTTCCATTAAAAGTTATTTTATGAGCTTCTTTTACCAAAAGGGCGGCAGCTACTATCACTTGTAAGCATGTTGGCCACCCTTTACTCACTGGGTCTAACAATTTAGAGAGATATGCCACAGGTTTCTTTTTGTCCGCCCATTCTTGTGTTAAAACTCCACAAGCAGTTCCCCCTTCTGTATTAATAAACAAATAAAAGGGTCTATTGAAATCATAAAGAAATTTGACCTTTTGACTATAATTTTCAATCCATTGCCTACAATATCCAATTAAACTTAATAATTGGTGCACCTGCCATTTATTTTTAGGGGGTGGAATTGAGAGGATTCCTTTTACTCTCTCGGGGTCAATCCTTTTTACTCCCCCGCTTAAGTAATGTCCCAAGTATTTTACTTCCTTTTCTACAAACTGTAGTTTAGATTTAGATACTTTCAGTCCCTTTAAGCTTAAAAGGTTTAGTAATTTAATACTTTCCTGTCTTACTGCCTCTTCCTCTTTTCTAGCAATTAGTAAATCATCCACATATTGAATTAGGGTGACATACAGGGCTCTAAAAGCCCTTTTTCCAGTAACCTATCTATTTCAGGCTTTAATCCTAATTTTCTTTCTCTAGGAATAGGATATTGCTTTATTCTTACAGGATTGCCAGGATTATTTATTTCTACTGAAAAAGGTTTGATTTGCAATTTGCCTGCTGTTTCTGGGGTATACCTCATGGTTAATTTTCTTCTCATCCTCTATCCTTAAGGGACAGACTCTTATTTGTAGTTCTTTAATTACAACTTCCAAACTAATACCCAATTCTATTATCAAATCTCTTCCCAGCAGGTTATATTCTGCTTCAGGCAGCAGTAGCAAAGAACCTATGCTAAATTTCTAATCGGTTTTAAGCATTACTTTTTAATTACTGGCACCTCAAAGGGTTCCCCTTTAGCCCCTATTACATGTACAGTTTCAGATGACTTCTTACATCCCAAAGGTAATTTCTGTACTGTGGATCGTTCTGCACCTGTATCAATTAAAAACTCTAATTCTTGTTGCTGGGGTCTACTTTAAATTTTACCAAGGGCTCCTTATGGTGTTTTTCCTCCAGCAAATAGAGCCCCTGACACACCTAATCATCTTTAAAAGCTCTTTCATCTGCCATTCGCTGTTGGCATGCCCTTTTCATATGTCCTTTCTTGCCACAATAGAAACAGGTCATTTCCTCACGATTTCTTTCCTTTCTTTCCTCTGAACCGTATTTCTGACTTTCTTTTTGTCCAGTCTCCCCTGCTTGAGGGGTCAGTTTAGGTCCCTTCTCACACAACCGCAGCCATAATTTTGGCCTGCCTCCCTTCTAACATAAACCTTCTGTGCTTCCCACAAAAGTTCCTCCAATCCCCGAATCTGCCATCCATCCAATTTCTCCAACTTTCTTCTTATATCCACCCATGAATTGACCACAAACTGCATTTTCAGCAGTGCTTCCTCTTCCTGAGTTTCAAGATCCACTCCTGAGTACAAACGGAAGGCTTTCCTTAATCTCTCTAACCATTCTGTAGGGTCTTCTTCTTTTTTCTGTTGCAATCTGAAAGCCTTTTGCACATTTTGCCCTCGCGGAACTGATTGTTTAATCCCCTGTATTATTATGTTCCGCAAATCATCCATATGGGTTTGATGTAGCGGGTCCTGGTTATTCCATTGGGGGTTCTGCAGAGGCCACTTATTATCTGCCAATGGTCCCTGCTGATGTTCATTGTCCCAAATTCTCATCCCCATTTCCCTTATCATTCTCCTTTCCTCTTTAAAATCCTCCAAACCCCGGGTCAAATTCCCCCAGATTTGGTTCAGAAGTTCCTAATTTTGTGTCCATAATCCCCCCCAGATTTGGGTCAGAATCCCCCAAATTTGGGTCAAAACCTCCAAATTTCAGGTCCAAACCTCCAAACCCTCTTTAAAATAGTGGATAATTTTCTTTACCTTTCCCCCTTTCCCCTACTGGGAAAGGCATGCCAATTATTTATCATTACTCCTAGAGGACTATCTTCAGGAATCCGGGGAAGTTTTATAGGGGTTCCCCCACCCATGGGACCAGAGGGCTTGCTTTTCCTCTGTCCCATCTTCCGGAGTGCACTCAATTTTTCACACACCCGCTCTCCTGGTTCATGGCCCAGCCCCTCGCGAGGTGTGGGAAATGCACTACTGAGGGTCTGCACTTGCTTGGTCTCTATGAGACCTCTCACACACAACACTCCGGGAAAACCACCCCAAACCAAGCAGGAAACCGGCCTATACTCACGCGTCCTGCGTCTTCGCTCGGGTCTTCGTGCAAAAAGTTTACAGGGGTAACCACCGGTTCTGCTTTTAACCGGATCTCCTTTGCCTGTAGCTTAATTTAGGTTAGTCGGTAGAGAAACCGGGAAGTCTGGGATAGTCGGGGTGCCTCCCAAGCATCTCAGAACAGCCGGGCTATTTCTCTATCCGAGTCACGGCACCAAAATGTAATAAGTTAGGACATGGGACCAATTTGTGTCATAATCTAATTAAAGAAATTTTATTATTTAGCAAGCAAGCAATACGGACAAATACAGCGCTGGGCGGCCAGGGAGTCTCCGCTCTACCACAGCACGCAACTGAGCCCTAGTTCTAGTCCTTTTTTATACAGTATTATTTCCTGGTGACATGGCCTTCTAGGTGTACTCTGCGCATGTCCTTCCTGTTGCTAGGGGGTCTTTTTCTGCCTCCTGGTGGTCGTCTGGACGAAGGCTGGTAGTCTTCCTCTTCTATCCCCTTCATGGCCTTTCCTTATTTGGTGAGTTTCCTACTTCTCCCTGGAACTTAAGACACCAGTTCACAACCAAGCAAATTAAGCAAACATGTCACAAGCAGTTCTTTCTTAATCATTATTTCCTTTCTCTACACAGCAAACATGTCACAAGCAGTTCTTTCTTAACTGCTATTTCCTTTATCTACACAACGAACTTGGTTGGGCACATCCTGGTTCAGTGAACAAATCTGACCATTTATTTATCTCAGCCCTGAGTAGGCAGCTGCCTCCAACAGTTCTGGACCTCTAATTAGGACTATCTACATTTTAAATAAAAATATGAAAAATAATAGACTACCAGGTAGCATTAGGGTTAAGGAAATGCCTTGTCTGAGATATTCGGTCCTAGGGCATGGATAGAAGTGCCTTGAAATGCAGTTTTAAACCCTTACAATGCTGAAAAAAAGCAGAGCTCCCTTCAAGTGAAGCCCTTAAAATGAGGAAAATGGGGCAGTGCGTTCTGGTTTAGAAATGCTTTTTCCCAAATTTATCCCTGCGTTATATTATCTTACACAATTTCCATTGGGTAGGTACAACTGGGAGTGCTCAAAGACCCGGAATGCTGACCCATTGATCACTGGGGAAAAGGAAGGGCAGGATGTGTTGGTTTTACAAACTGGGTGTGTGGCTGTATTTTGGAGTTTGAAATTCTGGTATTGTAAAACTGGATTACTTTGGTATTTTGTGTTATGTGTAGTAGATATAACTCACGCCATTTCTAATATGATATATGTGATATTGAATATTTGTTAGAGTATACACGTTTGTATTAGGATTCCCCCCGCACCCTCGCAGGCGAGACTAGGTGTATTTTGGAAACTGATTTACAAGTAAGAATGGGCCATGTCTGGGGAGATACAGAAACCCCAGGTGCTGATCGTTTTCGTGAACGACCCGAGATGGATATCATGGAAATCCTTGGGGAGATACATGTGAATCAACAAACTCCAGACACTGAATTGTTCTCCCTCATCACCAAAAAGAAAATCTTATAAACATATAGACTCTGAATAGAAGAAAAGACTAATTGCTGAAATCTTGGCCTCAGGCGGAATTTTCCCTATAAAAACCGCTTGTGCCAGGATGGAGGTGTGTGGGCATGGAGGAAAACCTCTGCTGAGGCTGACTCCTTGTTGCACACCCAGGGCCGACCCCGGGCTCGGCTCTGTTCTTTCCTCGTGGCTGGCTAGATAGAATTTGATTGCAAAATAAATATTTTATTTTATCATATTAATTTGGCTGGACAAATTTTCATTTATAACATTTTGGAACTCGGTATTCTAGTGTTTTGAAACTGGGCTACTGTGATATTAGACCATAGCTGCCGGTGCAGCCTGGAACAGTGCTGCTAAAGCAGACTAGCCAAAAACCTCAGATACGTGAGGCAGATGAATGCGTGCTGTGCGCGAGAAGAGGCGTGTGAGGAGGGCCAGGGACACGGCAGACTAATGCCGAGCAGCACACCGACCACCGGCCGATCCCCTCAGGCGGCCGCGGCCCCACCCGCGCACCGAGACCGGACGCGCCGTGACGCCACGGCCGGAAGCGCCGCCGCGCGAGCGCAGCCTGCAGCTCCGGGGGCGCTCCGTGCCGGTGCCGGCCATGAGCAAGCGCAAAGCTCCCCAGGAGAGCCCCAACGAGGGCATCACCGACTTCCTCACCGGTAGGTGTGTGCGCTCGGTCTGTCCTGTGGGTGGGGAGGGCCGCAGCCGGGCTGTTCTCACTGCGGTTCTCCTGCAGAACTGGCCAACTACGAGCGCAACGTGAACCGGGCCATCCACAAGTACAATGCGTACAGGTACCGCTTCCCTCTCGCCGCGCCCCCGTCCCGGGCCCCAGCCCGTTCGGGCGCTGACCGGCACTGTTCCGTAGGAAAGCGGCCTCGGTCATTTCTCGGTATCCGAGCAAGATACAGAGCGGGGCCGAAGCCAAGAAGCTGGTAGGTGCTCGTGTCCGAGTTGCGGGACGCGGCGGGAGGATCTGGGGCAGCCGGAGCAGGGACGAGGTGCCGGGGGTTCCTGGGAAGCGTGGGAGCAGCCCCGCTCCTGCCAGCACCTCTTTCCGGTACCCGAGTCGGAATTCGCGGACGCGGACGAGGTGTGGCCACTGTAGGGGTTTCAGAGCTGGAACTGGGCATCCCATCTGAGCCTCTACCTGTAAAAATATCTTTCCCCTTTGCTCTCTTACTGCTTAGTTAATTCAGAGATCTTGAGCAGTAAGAATCAAAACCTTGTTCAAACTTATTGCTTCGGGGAAACTTGATATAGCCCTTGTATTACAGTGTTTATGCCATTTATATTGTACCCTTGAATTCTTATGCTCTTTTATGGTCCAGTATTTTATTGAAGTCTTGGGTGCTCCATAGTTCTCTCTGGACTCTAAATTCTAGAGAGTTTTCCTTGCTTCCCACATGTAATGACTTTAAGTGATTTTTAAATTAACTTGTTTGTACTCACTCCCAATATTTAGGATGGAGTGGGTGCTAAAATAGCTGAAAAGATAGATGAGTTCTTATCCACTGGAAAACTACGTAAATTGGAAAAGGTGGGTTTCTTTTTCCTGTTTTGTATCTCTCAATAGCTGCTTTTCTTGATAACTTGCAAAGTAGCCTCTTTGTTCTGCACATTGCTGTTGTTGTCCCTGGAGAGTCTTAGGAGTGGTGAACACAGGAGTGTATGGTAAGTAGAAATCAAGGATTGAGAAGCTCAGCCAAAGCTTCAAAACTGTCTATTTATTAAAATATTTTAACTTACATAATCAGCATGTGCAGCTCTTCTGTCAGAAGTGGAAATCTGTTGCAGGAAGGCTGTGGAGTTCTGTGCTTTAGGCCTGCTGTTTGCCTTAGTGTGGCCGGTTGGGTGGTTTTCAGGCTAGTTACATTTGGCATTAATGTGATGTACCACACTGCCCTTGGTACTGTTTTACAGTGACTTACAGTGAACCTCCAGAGTCTGACTAAGCTATTTTATCTTCTCAAGGCTTCTTTTTATTTGTTTGTTTATTGCAAATGGAGTAAAGAAGGATTTGGGTTGCACTGGTTTGTTTTTTTTTTTTTTGTAGATTCGACAAGATGATACAAGTGCTTCTATCAACTTCCTGACACGAGTCACTGGCATTGGGTAGAAGTTTCTTGGGGTGTTTTTTGGGCTTTTTTTTCCCTGTTCCTGTTCATTTGGTAGACTTAGGAGCAGAATTTGGGTGATTGCACATAATGAAGAGAATAAGCCTGAGCTGATGATGTAATGCCCACACTGACACACTGTAGTCATGATTATGGGATGGAATGAGGCAAAAGGGTATAGAATGCTGATATACGGACTTTGTGGTACAGGAGTGAGTGTGGGAAGCTTCCTGAGAGGGGAAGGAGAGAGATGCAGGTCAAGAATGGAACTGTGGAAGTGAGACTCTGGCCTCAGGGTTTTCTTAAAAGGAGAAGCAGACCCTCAAAGGAGGCAACAAAACAAAAACAAACAAATAAAAAAAGCCCATCAGAACTCTGCTGCAATGTTATCATGCATTTGGTATTACTGCCTTAAGCAATATTGCCTATTTGCTGTGACTTTTAAAATTTCTTATATATCACTGTATAGTTATAGCAATGCTAAAAAATGTGCAGGCCAAACATTGGATCTCTGCTGACCAAAAGCATAAACTGAAAATGAGTATGCTGAAAAGATGTAAGCATCACAAGTAACCTCAGTCTTAGCCTTTAAAAACCTACACAGCTATAAATCATTCTAATGTTCAGTGTTGTAAGATTCTTGCTGTTACTAATGCCGGATTGCCTTGTCTCTTTGCAGTCCTGCTGCTGCTAGGAAGTTTGTCGAGGAAGGAATTAAGACTTTAGAAGGTAAGTGTGAATATGGGGCCTTGGTTCACACTCCAGTAATCTTTTTTCCTGTCAAGCTGCCTCTTCTACAGTGGTCCCGTGGTAGCATATATGCCCTAGGCTTTGAGGCAGGTGTGTAAGATGCTAAAGCTAGTACACAGGCTTAAGGCATTTCATACATATCCAAAGTAAAGTATGTGCAGGTTACATGGAAGGTAACAAAACTTTTGGTGGTCTATTAAGTCTTTGTTGGAAGTGCTCTGTGCATTTGTGGTCATCCTATCAGCTGCTGTGTAGGTAGTTTGAAATTCCCTCCTTTGAGGTTGTATTCTCCTTATGTATTCTTTACGTGCATTATGTTTGCACTGATGGAAACTTACTGTAAGATTTTTAGTCCTCAGTTAACTGTTTTGTTTGAAATTTTTTCTAGATCTAAGAAAAATTGAGCACAAGCTGACCCATCACCAGCGAATTGGGTTGAAGTAAGCTTTCTTGGGTACAAGTGCTTGGTGTTTCTAATGACTCCTTCAGACACCAGGATGTAATGTAAGGTTACATAGACTGAGTAAGGTTCTCTTCTCTCTGTGCTCTATATGCCTTTCAGCAGTTATTTACAGTTTTTGTTTCATTTGGGTTGGAAGGCTTAGTCTCCAGAGGTAAGTTAATAACAAATGGCTTCTTCAGTTAGTTCATGGATAATCACTTCAGCGAGGTTGTGGAGTTGTTTATTTACAATCTGCATAGAAGCAGCCCAGGCTGGTTTTTTATGTGCTGTGAACAAGGTAACCTTTGCATGTCTGAACGTGAGAATGCTCTGCAGAATGTGTGTTTGTCCCTCAGTATTCATCAGCTTGATTGCTGTTTGTTGATTGTCTCTTTGGTGTGGTAGTTCTGGAAGAACTATAGCTGTGTTTGTCAGAAGCCGCAAGTGAACCAAATAAATCCAAATGGTGTTTCACTTGCCCTCTTTTTCTCCACAGTTAAGCAGCATGCTGACAATTTGAGTTTTATGGTGGAAGGCAAATATATCTGGAGCTGTATTTGAGTTGCGAGCTTCCATTTAGCTCCTTCCAACATAGGTCTCTTCTGACCATGGGCGGGAAACCTGTTCCTCTTGCTCGCTAGTGGGCTGAGTTTTGTCAGGAACCTTCCGTATTTTCAGAGGGCTATGTAAATATTAAGCAATTGGTTATATGGTAATACTTCTCCTACCTCATAGCAGCTCTTCACATACAGTGGAAATACTGAAACAATGTTCTGAGCATTGTCAAACTCGCAGTTGTGAGTTTTTACTGTCACCTTGCAAGATGTTTTCTAAGATGTTTGATGAGAGGAGCTTTTTGTGATGTGACAGTGGTGTAAGTTACTATTCTTTCCTCTGAGATATGTTTAATTGACTAAAATTTTTAAATGCTGCCCCTGCCACTCTTTCAGATACTTCTATATTTATATTTGCAGATACTTTGAAGATTTTGAGAAAAGAATCCCAAGGGAAGAAATGCTGCAAATGCAGGTAAAAATCTCGTTAAGAATGTGATGTGCTGATGGCCAGTGAATGACTGGCCACCTCTAAACACACTTCTTTCCTTTTTACATAGGAAATTGTGCTCAAAGAGATAAAGAAACTGGACCCAAACTATATTGCTACAGTCTGTGGCAGTTTTAGGCGAGGTTGGTACTCTGTGATCTTGTTATCTTTATTTTGGGATAGTAAGCAAGACAAGTTACAGTGTATGTTGTTGTTCTTGACAGACTCTATGCTGGAACCTGGCCTTTCCTGTTAGTATTGTCTTGACTAGCTAGATCAGTGATGAGATGCCTGCATAAATTCTTGCTCCTCCATCCTTCCCCCATAAAGAGTAGTGTGAGAACCCTGGGATTGGTTCAGGGGTCTCGTGTGGTGGTAAAATCTCTTCTCCAACCCGTGCTTCCAAAGAAAAACTCCGCAGTCTCTTGTTGTTTGGTCTCAAGGCAGTTTATTGCTAGTTATCTAAAAGATTGTCTTCGCCCACTGCGGCTGCTTTGGTCAGCGGCCCAGGCAGAAACACACACACCCCTGACACCCTCTCTTTCTGGTGTCTTCTTCTCTCTCCCCGCCCAGGGCTGCTGCTATCTTTTATATGATACATTACGTTTTCCATGTTTACAGTTTTTCCCCAATACCTACTATTTATGTTACATGGTGCTTTTCTACTCTAAACCAATCCATAAGTGCCAACATCATCAAGAACATGGAGACAAGGAAGAAGGAGGAAGAACAGGATCAGCCCACTTTCCTCCATCTTAGAACTTCTGACCCCCATGTACAAAGTAAAAAACCCCCTGTACAATACTAAAAAAATTTCCCCTCTATTTTGTAACTACTTCTACTATACCATCTAACCCTTTGTGACTGCTTGTTCCACCTTCAAAGTTGGTAACTTATTCCATGGCTCAAACTCAAAATCACAGCTGTTTCCAGCTGCTTGCCAGGGTCTAAAATGCTTCTGACCAAGGCCTGGAACCTCTAAAAATGTCTGAGGGACATTTTGAGTTCCAACAGAGTAGAATCTTCTAACGTGAATTGTTTGCTTTGTTTTGACATTAACAACATTTGTGTTTCATTGCTATAGAGTGCAACAAGAAATTCTTGGGATATTTTCTTATGTATGGAGAATATAAACTTTTGATGAAAAAACAAGATTCTTTAAGATTATTTTTTGTTTTGCTAATATCTCTAATAGTGACCATTCCCTGCTAGAAAACCATGTTTACAAGAACAGGTAAGATATACGTTCACCAACATTAGCGTACTTTGCCACACACGGGATTTTTCTTTGCTTCTTTCTTGCCTAGGTGCAGAGTCAAGTGGCGATATGGATGTTCTCCTAACCCATCCTAGTTTCACATCCGAATCATCCAAACAGGTGCATTTCTCAGATGCCACCGATCAGAACTGTACATTGCATATAATCTCAGACTTGTGTTGCAGCTTTTTGTGGTTTTGTATTTACTGTAATATTGAACTTTTCTCTTTGATTGCCATGTTTATTTTGAGGAGTTAAAATTACTTCTCTGGTCCGTGTATTACGTTGCATTTCTTTGCGGAACTAGTCAATATACTTATTTTTACCCTTCTCTCCTTCCTTTTCCTGTCACATATATTCCCCCACCCCCTTGAATTAATGTGCTTTAATAGTGCAGAACTGTAAAGCTAGCTGGATTAAAGGTAGACTGACTATTTCTTTATGTAGCCATAATCATTTAGATGATAAGAAACTGTCCTGCTGCCCTTGCAATCCTTTGGGACTAACACTGAAGTAGTATTAATAATAGTGGGGTTTTTTTCATTGCATTCCTTCTATAGATTTGTTGTTTAAAAGCTGAATTAGATTTGTCTTTTCCAACTAAAAGTGATCTCACTCGGGGGTATTGACAGGAATTTTTTATGTTGCACAATTGTCATTTTATTAGCTTTTTTCCAGTGTTATTGTTGCATTTTTTTTCCGTTTGGGTCAAATTTCATGTAGAATAGTACATATAATTATGATTATGTCCTGTACTTATAGGAGCCTCTATCTAGTAAATAGGTAAGATAGTCTTGTTATCTTACTTGTGAAGTAATTTCTTCTTTATTACCATTGTTCCTAGTCAAAACTTTTGCATCAGGTTGTAGAACAGCTGGAAAAAGTCCACTTTGTCACAGATATGCTGTCTAAAGGTGACACAAAATTCATGGTAAGAGCTTTTTTGTGGTCAAGGATGTTGTGGGGGGATTACTTTTCCTGCCAGAAGCTAGGACTAATACAATTGCTTGGGTTGCTGGAACTGGGGATGATGTGTGTTTGTTTATTTAACTCCCCTGCTTGTATCTCATAAGAATTTCCTGCAGTTAACTCTTAGGAAATACATTATGGTAAGATTTCAGTATTAGAAAGTGTACAGATATTTGTGTAGTTCTAAACCCTGCTGACGTAACCTTCATCACATATTGTCAATTGTGTCTGTATTGCTTGATGTTTCCTGGAACCTCAGCATAGCATCACGTCTTTAATTGCACCAGTGACCACTTCTGTAATTGTGTCCTCAGGATCTTGGAAACATTTAGCTTTGATCTCAGAGCTATGTTTACCTGATTTTGTCTAATATATAATACACTTTTGTTTCCTTTTGTGTTAGTTTTGCTGCAGAACAGATTTAATGGATAAGCTACTAAATTTAGGATATAATAGGGATTATGTGGGATGCCTAAAGCAAGTAATAAATTACAAGAACATTAATTTTTTAGATCCCATGCTGACAGTGAAGAGCTTTTTTTCTTTTCTTAACCTGCTGATATTTGTACATACTGAAAAGCCTGATAATAATGAGGACAGGGAAATTAGGACCCTTCCTGGTGCAGTAAAAATTTAAGCAGTTGTATGCTAATACAGTACTCACAACAGTGTAAAATAGTGATTCACTGTATTCTGATATCTGGCTGTTCTAGTAAAATATTTACTCAATTCAGGACGAATTTAACTTTGCTTTCCTGGATGGCTGAGGATTATTTAGAAGTTGTTTAGGGGTGGGGAGGTAAAGATGGTTCTCAAATCTGTTTAATTTCATATGAATTTCTTGCTTGCCTTAATTCCTCATAGGGTGTCTGTCAGCTGCCAGATAAAGAAGATGGAACAGCTTATCCACATCGCAGAATTGATATCCGGTACATGCATCAAAATCCCCCCACCCAAACCCCTAGTTTAGCTGTCTGCTACAGAGTAGGCATTTGCATCAGTTTTTTTTTTCATTCAGATCTGCAATTCCATGTTCAGAACATGGCATTTTCTAGGTTTCTAATGCCTTTGCAGTGTGGCAGCCACTGGAAAACTGCCAGTAATTACAACAGGTTATTAGCAATAATGCTGTGCTTCAAATCATGATATTCTATTCAGATTCAGAATTGTGTCCTATTTTATCATCCTGCTTTGATACTGATTCTTGGCAGAAGTGCAAGCACCATAACCAGGTAGTGGCTGAGCACCAGTAACTTCTGGGTAAGGGTAAATCTGCTGAACCTTTCTTTCATATGCAGTTCCTTTCACTTTCACATCTGGCTTGTGAGAAAATCAAATGTACGGAGTTGCAGAATGTAGATGCATAAATACAAAGTAAACCTACAAGTGTCGGAACTACTGAATTCTAAATGGCTTGTTACTTCTTTGTTGTATATTTGTTCTAAGTCCTCACTTCTACTTTTTATTCTAGGCTTATCCCAAAAGATCAGTATTACTGTGGTGTACTGTATTTCACAGGAAGTGATATATTCAATAAGAACATGAGAACTCATGCTCTGGAAATGGGCTTCACAATCAATGAATATACAATACGCCGCTTGGGTGTTACTGGTCAGTCTGAGTTTTTGCACAGAGTATTCTTTTGAGTTACGCACTTGTGATCTCATTGAATTGGTTGCAGTTATTTTGGAAATACTTCTGATAAATGCTATTGTTGGGGAAGATGAAATAGGAAAGCCTTATAAATATAATTGCCTGGCAAAAGATCTAGAAAATACAGATATTGAGATAATAACAAGTTTTGAGATACCAAACCTTAGTTACCGAACAACCAAAAAACAATAGTACAGCCAGTTGAAAGCAATCCCCCCTTTCTGATTAAACAATGCCCTTTACCTACAGTTAGGTCCAAAAGTCAAATGGAATGTTCTGTCTCACCCCCCCAATGTAAAGTTCATCCCACATCTGTAACCCTCTCCTGAAGCATCAGGTATTTGTAACCCCATTGGCCCAAGTCTTGTTCCAGCCCACCTTAAAGACCCCTGCTAAGAAGTGCCTGAGGGACTAGACACTCTCTTGAAACTTCCTCTTGGGACCCTCTCCTAGCATCCTCTACCCCTTGCCCCTTTTGCCCCCACTCCCTAGCGCCTGCCACGAGTTGCGCCTGGCAACTCCAAGCAGGGCCCCTCACCCTTTATAATAAACCACATATTCTAAGACCAGACTTCAGAGATCTCTCATCTCCATCCATCTAAACTGTCCTGGAGTCCAGCGCTCCTCACATGCTATACTTTGTGAAATTTTTTATGGTGTCCTTTTTTATATTGGGCACTATTACAGCAAGAAGGGGCAGCCTGCTTACATACAGGCAGCTCTGTGGCACAAAGTTACCTATTTGGGCCTCCTCATCTACTTAAAGTCTTAGTGATTTAAAGATTTTTTTTTTTCTGTGCCATGCACAGCACATATTTAGTTTCCTACTCTTTTCACAGGGTATGTCATGTCCTTCAGTTGCTTTGCTTTGGAGGAGATGTGATTATATATACGCATGCACAATTATAAATGTATTTAACTTCGTAACCACTTGGCCCTGAAGTTAATTCATTACCTTATTTCCTTTGACACTAATAAGAATCAGTATGTAAACACTATGAAAATTTCACGGAGGGTGGGGATGTTGTTCTGGGTGGGTTCTTCAGGGTTTTTTACCTACAGCAGTTTTGTCTTAATCTTGTAATGCATTTGGCATTTCTGAATGGTACAGACTTTCCACCTTTCAAATATCCTGTGTAATTTGCTTGCAGGGGTTGCTGGAGAGGCCCTGCCAGTAGAATGTGAAAAAGACATCTTTGACTATATCCAGTGGAAATACCGAGAGCCAAAGGATCGGAGTGAATAACTAACTGCTTGTCTAGGTTTATAGCCTACAGAAATACTTTCATGGCTACTGAAATCTAAAGCAAGTCCATGGCACTTGAACAGAATGTGTCGTGAAGATAAATCCTGTGCGATTTCATTTTCATATAGTCACAGAATAATTTGGGTTGGTAGGGACCCCTAAATGTCATGTCTTCCAGTCCCCCTGCCATGAGCAGGGCCATCTTTGACTTGAGAAGATTGCTTAGAGCTCAGTCCAATCTGACCTTAAATGTTTCCAGGGATGGGGCATCCAGCATCTCTCTTTGTATCTTATATATATGTAGATACCAAAATGAAAAAGCGGGCTATATCGTGAAGTACTCCTGAAGAGTACCGTTTTCCACTAGTCTCTGTGTCTCGTCATACCTGTGTTAAGTGTCTTGGTGCAGTGCTGAAGCTCATGACAAGTTGCTCCTGTGTACTGACCTTCTAAAACCTTTCAATATGGGCTATTTGCTAAGGTGGCCATTCTCCTGTTGCATGTGAACTGTGAATTTTGTTACTAGATATGTTGTAGTACTATTAATTGCAGTGCTCTGTGTTTCGTTCAGTTTGGTCTGATTAATTGATGCATTGGTACTGCTCCTGTAGATTCAATCTGCCTATTTTTATATGGAAATCTGTCAAATCTCATTTTACAGCTCCCCTTTAATTGTTGGGAAAGGTTATGAGTATTTTGGATGTGAGACAAAGTCTCTTCAAGAATGCATTACTAATTGTATTTGGGACAGGGATTCTGTTGATTAACTTAAAATTTTCAAAGTAGTAAACTACTAGCTTCCATGTGTTACAGAGCATGAGCATGGAATGTATTGGTGCTACTATATTTGAATACTATTTCTTATTTTCATCTTGCTTAAGCCTACAGAACAACTACATTTTCAACTTGTTCTTATACAAGGAGAGTTGATCAATCTTAGTAATGGAGATTACAAGGTGATGCTCTTATTTACCCATTTATTTTCTTCCATTTTTCTTGTTAGGAGTTTTAATTATTTTCTGGGAATGTTCCCCATTGCTAATGCATGCAGTAGTATGTAAGAAAACTAGAAGTTAACTTGGTACTATGTGAAGTATTTTGATGTCCCATTGTAAAAATATATATACCTGATATATTTAGTATTTTCTTCAGTAATCAGTAGGAATAAACAAATTGAATATTTCATCATTAATGTGTGATATGTTTTCGAGCCAGGTCTTATGAGCTCTCAGAGAACTTGTCACACCCGAGATAGCCCAGCTACCTCAAATGGCATAAAATTAGCAGGGTGGCTTCTGAGGTAGTGTTGGAAACAGAAAAGTTTTAATGAAAGGCAAAATAACAAAGCTCTTACAGAGAAAAACTCAAGCCAGGGGCAAGAGGTTCTTGCTCCTGCTAAAACACCCCACAAAAGCAATTACATATTTTGTTCTCTTCTTTTTCAAGTGAATTACTTAGGCGGGACCTTTTGGCTTCTGTCCAGTTGACAGCCCTAGGTTTCAGGTGAAGTCCCAAAGGTCCTATGAGGTGTCTTTTTAACAAATTGAGGAGAGAAACTTCTGGGCTTTTTTCCTTTTTAAGGAGACAAAGGATAATTTTGCCACCCTGTCAACAGGGGGCACATTCTTACAAATGTATAGTGGTGTTTGATTATTATTTTATTCACTGTCATTTTAGAAAATCAAAAAGCAGTTTACCACATTTACAAACGTTTCCTGGCCAGCACATAGCATTACACTGATGTATTCTCCATCATCAACATGTAGCCCAGAAGACTACTTTGTTTTGGGCCATTACACAGAATTAGTTGGCTTTGCAGTCTCCCTCCATAAAACTGTGAATTCTGCTATGTGCAAAAAGAGAAAAGAGCTTCTTCAGAGAGTTTGCTTGTTTTTTGTGAATTATATAAATATACATTGTGTCTATTTTTTTTTTCTCTCTCTCCCCACTCCCTCTATCTCAGTTCGCTGGCTTTTCTTCTAGACTTGTACTAGACTGCAAGATGTCTGGTAATTGTGGGAGGCAATAGTTGTGAACCTTATACCAGGGAATCTGTGTAATCGGGCATGTACTATACTCTTGTTTGGGTGCACAGACAACCTTATGTGCAGAATAACAGCTGAGCTTTGTCAGCGGTACTAGCTGCACCGTTCTGTCAGCGTTTGGTTTTGTCCTAGTTGGAGTCTTACCTTCAGATTGGGTGGGCCTGTCTCCTTCCTTTGATTCAGGGCTATAGTGGCCCTAAGGGGTTTGTCTGTGCAGAAGTTCCAAACGGGGCTGACAGTGAGTTAAGGAGGTTTGCTGATAAGGCAGGTGAAGGGTTTAAGAGGACCTTTAGTGCCCGCTGGAGTCTCGTCCCGACTCCTGACAGCCTGGGTAAGGCGCGGGTGCAGTGCAGCTCCCTGGGCGCGGGGCCTGTGGCACTGAATCCCTCTGCAGGCCTTCCCCGTCCCTCGGAAGCACAAGTTGGTATCCCCGAGAAGAGCGGAGGCGGCTCCGGCTGCCGCGCGGCCTTTCCCGCACGGGCGGGAGCCCAGGCGCGCTCCCACGCGCGCTCCCGCCGCGCTTCGGCCACGCGCGGGACGGAGCGGGGGCGCGCGGCCGACACGGGTGGGCGGGGCCGCAGCCGGGGCGCGTGCGCAGCTGTGGCGCCGCGCATGCGGACGGGGGCACGCCGAGAGCCGTACCGGAGGCAGCGCGGGCGGTAGGCAGCACCGGGGCCGCGGCGGGGCCGGGCCGGGCCGGCGGGGCGGGGTGGGGTAGGGCCGGGCCTCGCTTCGCCTCGCCTCGCGGTGCTGTCCGGCTGGAGCCCGGTGCCGTCCTCTGGGCCTCACCGAGGCAGAGGCGGGCGTCCCCCGAGTCACCTTGCCGCGGCGGGGCTGGGCCAGAGGCCCGAGGGGGCGCCGGCAGCTCGCTCCGGCGGCAGTTCCTCGTCCGCAGGCCCCCGGGCTGCCGAAAGGGCGTCCCCGGGACGCGGGCCGGCTCTCTCTCTGACACCAGGCGGCCGGGGTCTTTCCAGCTGCTCCGCTTTCTCGGCCAGGAGGCACGAACTTGTGCGGCGGCTGGGACCGAGTGTTCCCACGGCGCCGGCATTCCAGCATGGAGAGGAAGCGGCGCCGGAGCGCGCCCGCTCCGTTACCCGCTGCGCTACGCGGGCAGTGCGGGCCGGGCCGCGCTCGCGCTCCCGGGGCCGCGCAGCCGCCGCCCCTCCGGCTCCGCCGCCAAAGGTGCGCGGCGGTGGTCGTGGGCAAGGCTCGCCGCATGCGTCAGGAAACATGAAACCGGCCTCACGGTTATTGTTATTTATTTGCAAGGTTTCTTTTGCGGGGCGGGGTGGTATTTGGGGAGGGGTTTTTTTTTCTGCAGACTTATTTTAGAAGAGAAAGACTAATTTTCCTCTGGGGAAGAGTTTGCCTTCTTTTTTACTGTGGGTTTTCTGATGCAGAATCCCTAAATTGTGGTAACTAATAAATAATGTATCATCTGTCCTGCAATATTACATTCCCATCCGTTTGAGCTGTGTTCTCCTATGTAGTTGTAACAGTATTAGGAAATGTACCCCCATTAGCAAATATAGTTTTTGCTGCTTTGTGTGCACAGTGCAGAAATACTCACTGATGGTTACTGGACAGTATACAGAGATCTCTTTCCTATTTTTCACATCTCTGAAAAAGCTTTCTATAAAGTCACAAGTGCAGATGGAAGTGAGACCTGTTTTCCTTTGGAATTGTTAAGTGTTGACATTGTTTGCTACTTGAGGTCCCTTTCAGAATGGATCCTGTCATGAAAGCAATGTTTCCTCATCATCAGAACATCAATAAGGCTCCTGTGAGTTCTTTTTGCAATGTAAGACTGTGAGGCCGGCATGCGTAGTGGAATGTAATAGCTGGGGTTCAGTGATTCTAAATTCTTTTTTTTATATAATTTTTTTTTTTAAATTCTTTGAATTGAAGCTTGTTTTGGACAAAGCAACAATGATGCAAGGATGACTGATGAACATTCTTCAAAGATCTGACAGTTCTGTATTGGTGATATATTCAAAGACTACTAATCATAGGTGTTTATTAATGCTTTGGATATAGTTTACATTTTATGCTGTTACAGCTAGGATTCTTACAGCTTTGTGTGTGTTTCAGATCCAATGGCTGTCCCACCGTCATACTGTGACTTGGGAAAGTCTGCCAGGGATGTTTTCAACAAGGGATATGGTAAGTAAGATAAGGATGGTTTGATCACCTTTCATAGTTTTCCCTTAGGCATCTTGAAAATGCCTGTAAGAACACAAGTACCTCAGACATTCCCTAATACATTACCAGCAGAGCCCTGGAGCATCTAGCCCCTTCTGATTCTGAACTTTGGACATGTGTTATGATAGTACTGCAGTGGCAAAGAGTTCGAGGGGAAGATTATAGGTTTGACATTAATATGCACTCCAGAACAGTCTCTGAAAAATGCTGCCTCATTTTTTACCCTCTGATTTTTCTATTTAGAGTCATTAAATCAGGGATACTGATGTAGATTGTGGTAGGAAACCACATGTGGCAGTAAACAGGTTCCTGAGAAAGAGTGACCTTTCTGTTAATCAGAATAGCCTATTAAACTGGAGTGCAGATATTTTCACAGTATTTGCATTTGTCCCTTTTGGTCCCTTTTCTGGAAACAGTACTAGAAAGCGTTAATTTTTTTTTTTTAAATCTGAGTTTGTGTGCAGTAAAGATTTCATTTGTATCACAAATCCATATGCTACATAAAACTAAAATGCACTGTGGTCTGGTCTCTCCCACCCTGGAGTTCACGCTTTGCTAAGAATCAACTCAAGTTCCCTGCTTTAGAGTCAGTTACTTCAAGCTTTTTTACTTAGTGCAAGGGCCAGATATTTCCCTAGTTTGAGAGCAGACAGAAAAGGAAGAAAGCAGTAGTACTTCTGTATATGGCACTGATTGAAGTAAGTTGAAACATATTTTTTTGGAGTAGAGAAGAAAAATTTCCTGCCCTGAAATCAGAAATAAAATGTAAACTTAAGTAAATCAGAAGAGATGGTTAACTGCATTGATGGTCCTAGACTGCTGGTAGCTACAGAAGGTGGAAGTACTTCATGGTTGGTATCTGTTATGACTATAAATTATGAGGCAAATTGCTTTGAGTGGTCAGAATTCCTTCAATCATCCCATAATCCTTGTAACCCTCAGGATGATCAACAACTGTTTAAACATGAAAACTGATTCAGGTCAGTGTACCCTAGCTGACATACTTTGGGTGTGTTGAAAATAAGCCTTGTTTATATCTTTCAGTGAAACAGGTGCTGTGTGTTATTTTATTTTCAGGATTTGGAATGGTCAAGTTAGAGTCGAAGACCAAGTCTTCCTGTGGGGTGGTAAGTATTTGGGACTTTCAACATCACCAGCATAGCAGTGGAAAGACAAATTCCTGAACCGATAACAAGCATTAACTTGCTAGCAGGTGTTGCTTCTCTCTTTCATTTCTCATTTTAAAACTCATAGCTGACTGAGAAATTTCTACAATAGTACGAAGCTGATGTAGCAGTACATTTTTTTCCCGTGGCATGCAAGAATTTTCGTACACCTTGTAGTTACTTTCCCGCCTGTTCCATTGACGCATCCCAAACATGAGTTTCTTCGCCTTACATAGCTCTCATTTTTACTTATGAATGCAACTGAGTTTCTCTGCGGTTACTGTTTTCATAGGAATTTTAGTCCAGAAGGACTTTTATCCAAGAGGTCAAGGGACAAGTAAGCACTGGAGTTTAACTTAACTGTGTTTTCACTCATTTCCACTGTGCTTAAAATTCAGCAGTTAATTAAAACTGAAAACAGACCTGCAGTACCCTGTATGTAGAATTTGAGAGCTTAAGTAAGCTTTAGCATTCCAAGTAACAAGAATATCCTGTGATCCCCATTTTAATGATGGAGAAATGGAGCTTCCTCACAATTTCACAGGAGGGCTGGCAAAACTAGGAATGGGTATCATAATTTTGGTCTTTAACCACAGGTATAAATTATTTACCGGATAATATTTTTCTTACACTGACTCTGAGTTCTGCATGTCTTACTGCTCAGTGCTGTTCTGATTGGTAAGACAAGTTGCTTCTCAGCCTACTTTGTAACCGTATTTGCCTGAGCTCCCTCCTTCTCTTGCATTTATCTTGTGCAAATGGTGTAAGTCCTTCT